CTTACATTGCATGGGTCGGGAGCAGGGATGAGAGATTTAGAGCAGAGCTGGAAGTGGAACAAACGCAGAATCCCCCCCCCCCCAAAGCAACCCCAGCAGCAAAACCCCCCCCACACCCTTTTGTCCGAGCAAACCCAAGGGAGACGGAAGGGAAGGACGGGACGGGGTGACCCGCAGGAGGTGGGGAATCAAGTCCAAGCTCTCATCTCCCAAAGCGGAAGGTGAAGCCCCCTTTTTTCCTGTTGTAGCCGTTGAGTTCCTCTGCCAGGTTCCCCAGGGCGCCGCTGCGCTTCTCCCCTGCCATGGTCAGCAGCTCGGGGTCCCCCCGCCTGCCCGGCCCCGCTCCGTATCCCCGCAGCTCCCGGGCGATGCTCAGCAGCGCATCCAGCTCCTCGCTTCTCCTCCGCTTTGCCCCTGCCCTCCAGCCGGGACCCCGGCCCTCCGCCGCCGTTTGCCAGCCGGGAGCGAGCGGAGCCCCTTCCCCGGGGGCTCCCGGCTCCCAGCGCTCGCCAGGAGGGAAGCAGGCTCCCAGGCTCAGGAGGAAGAGGCAGGACAGCGAGTAGGGCGCTCTCATCTGGGGGAAGCACAGGGAGAGGAAGGAATGTCAGTGAAGCATCTCGGGCAGCGGCTGAGGCGGCAGCACGGGCTGCCCTCGGCAGTTCCCCATCCCTGCTGCAGCACCCCCAAACCAGCCCTGCGGCCCCCGCTAGAACCCCCCGAGCACCCACTGCTCCTTCTGCAGCCTCCAGCACCAGCCGGGGCTCTGAGCTCCCCCCGCCTCCTTGAGAGCTGCTGCCCTTCATCGGCACAAATTCCGATGTGCTGGGCTGTGCTGGGGGCTCCGGAGCTGCCCGCTCCTCCTGGAGGCGTCACCCTGAGGGTCCCCACGAGCGGGTCCTGCCCGCTGTGCCTGGCTGGGACAGAGGAAGGTGCTCGGCATCCCTCGGCTTCGTGGGGCTCGGACCTGCACTGGCAGAGGGGTCTGAGTAGAGCAGGAGGGAGTGAAGTCCTGGGCCTCGTGCGATGCCACAGGCAATGGGTGACCTTCAGCAGGGCTGCTCTGCCTCCCTTCCTCCTCCCACAAAGGCTCAGGAAGAGAAAACGGGTTGTATTATTACTATTATTATTATTAATAATAATAATAATATAATCATTATCATTATCGTTATTATTACTATTCCCTGGAGATTTTGCCTTAAAAGCTGCTGCAGGCGCTGGGGGCCAGGCTGGCTGCTCCATGCTTGCCCAAGGGGGCTTTCTCACTGAGTTTCTCACTCCTGTGCCAGACCCAGGTGCACTCAAGCTCCTGCCTGTCCTTCCCAACACCCCACAGCCCGGAGGCTTCACTTCGGGCTCACCCCCACCTTCTGCACACCTCGCCTCTGCTCTGCTCTCCCCTCTTTTTGCACCCCGTTGCCCATCGCGGAGCCAAATTGCTGAGTCCCGTTCTGGGGGTGCTGGTGGGTCCCCAGGTGCTTCCCCCAGCCTTTGGCTCCTGCCTGGCTGTGCTGCCCATCGAGGCAGCGGTGTAAAGCAGGGACAGACAGACAGACAGACAGACAGACAGCGGTCACGTACCTCTGCACCTCGGCGCTGCCCAGTGCTGCCACCCCTGGCACCTCTCCTGTGTCGGGATGAGCGGGCAGCCCGCCCTGGGCCATTAAATAGCCACAAGCGCTGATTGCCATGTCAGCCCTTGGACGTGTGGCCACAGAGAGAAGAGGGTGGGATCCTCGGGGAGGGAGCTGAGGGGGATGGAGGGGTTGGTGGAGCTGCCACAATGGGAACACAGCAACACCACTCATTAACGCGCCGCCTTCATTAGCTGCCTCATTTGGAGGAGCAGCTGGGAGCCGGCCTTGTGTCCCTGGCAGTTGTCATGGAGGATGGAGGGTCTCATCTGGGGACCCAGGTGTGTCCCCTTCATCTGCCTGGTGGGTCCTTGTGTGCAGCCCTTGGGGGTCCCACACACACAGATTTGTGTGTACAGGCACCACTGGAGACTCCAAACCCAAACTGGAGACCCCTGCACCCCCAAACCTGCCTGGGCCTGGCCCCACATGGACATACCCAAGTGCTCCCACCCTCCCTGGTCAACACAGGCAGCCACCAGTGCTGGAACATGGTCCCCAAAGGCACCCTGCTGTCCCCTCCAGGTCTGTCCTGGGCTGTGGCAGTGGAATGTGAAGTGGGCAGCAGAGAGGGGCTGGGGGCATCGCTCGCTGCTCTGTCCATCGGAGCAGGGAGCAGGACCCCTTGGCACAGACACCTGCCACTCTCCCAGTCCCAGCCCCAGGGCCACCCCAAGGTCCTGCAGGGGCTGGTTTGGGCTGGAGCCCCGGGAAGCCTCCTCAGCCCCCTGGGTCTCCCCAGCTCTTGTGTTGCAGAGCGGTTTCAGTGCGGTGGGCAAGTTCCCAAGGATGCCGTGCCACGAGCCCTGGCACAGGGAAGGAACCAACCCCCAGCACAACCAGGAGCTGCAGTGATTCAGTGCCACTCCCTTTGCTGTCACCAGAGCAGGTCCCCCAGCTGTGTCCCCACGCTGCAGCACGGCTGTCACACGGTGGGTAACGATGAGATCCTTTTATTAAGGAGTTTAGAAAGTCCACATGTACAGCATTGGACACACTCACACACGACCTAGACTTCACAGCACTGCTACACACCATGGCCTGGCCCAGGGCTTCTCTGGGAAGGTTCATGGCCACACCCCAGACCCCTGGTCACCCCTGCCCACCCCTTTCCAGGGAGTGTCACCACAGGTGGGTTTAATCTAATCCGTGGCCATGGAGCAATGCATGAGCTCTTGGGAATAATCCTGGGAAATCCTGCATCTTGGCATGGATTAAATACCTCTCGTGCAAGTCAAAACAAAGTCTCTGGGGGGTCCTGGGTGACACAGGCAGTTACACTGGGGTGTGCTACCGACAAACCAACACACAACGTTCCCACCCCAGCATGGCACAACGCCAGTGGAGGGGTCTGGGGGGATGAGCCTTCCCACCCAACATGTGGTTCCATGTGCATTCCTGCCCAAAGCATCAGAAAACCCAGCTACAGCTAATCCACCAAAATAACTGATTGAAAAGTAACGATGGGTGCAGGCAGGACCCTTTCCAGAAAGGTCCAGTGGAATACAGGAAGCTCCTTGGAAGCTGTGCTGAGAAATGCCACTGCTGAGTTCCCCCAGGTCCCATCGTTCCAGAGAGCCAGCCTGGCCAGCTGCTCTGGGCATGGATGGAGTGCACAGAGCTGAGTGCCCTTCACTCAGAGCTCATCCCCACCTGAGGGCTCTGAAGAATCTCTCTGGCAGGGTAAAAAGCTGCGGTGATCCCAATGCATCATTTGTCCATTTCTCTGTCAGGGCAGACAGACAGGGACTCACCCAGTAGGTGTGAGGGCTTGTCCAGCACAAGATCCAAGGTGGGGAAGGCTTAATAAAAAGAATCACAGAGGGAAGTACAAACCTGGTGCAGTTGGGAAGCTGAGCCTTTGATCTCCCTGTGCTTTAAGCTCCCCTGGAAATGGAGATAGTGGGAGTTTTCCTCCCCTCCTCAGTCCATCTGTAAGTCTGATGGTGCTTCTTGGAGCCAGGGCTCTGCTGTAGCACAGGCAGAAAATGATGTAAAGGGTGGCAGGGTTCTGTCTGTCCCTTCCCCTCCTGGTCCAGAGTCTGCTCACATTTGGTTCTCTTTTTTTTTTTGGACAAAATCCCCCGTGTGAGTCCTTCCAGGGAGCCAGCAGGAGACATCAGTCCCACACCCCATGGCAGCTCCTGCTTGGGCTGGCTGCTGCTGCTGCCCGGTTATCAGGGCCCTGCAGATGCTAAGCCCCACTCAGGGCTTCTTTTTTGCAAAACCTTAACGGGATTTGAGGAAATGAAAGGCTTTGGATATCTGCAGGTGCCGAGCCAGTGCTGCAGCTCGGGCAGGATGAAAATGAAAGCGGGTGCCCAGGCCAACAGTGAGAGGAGAGGGCTCATTGGGAGATGTGGCTGAGCTGCCCAAAGGGTTTGGGGGAAGGTCACAGCTTTTGGATGGTCAAAATCCGATGTGAATCTGAGCGGGTCTGATTGGGAGGGAGGGGCTGTGAAATGCAGGAAGAGCTGTGCTGGGAAGTGAGCCTTCCTCGCCTCCTCTTCCTTGTGCTCCCTGTTTCCCCAGCACTGCCAAAACAGCTCCGTGCCGTGCTCAGTTCTGGGTGTGTGTCCTTGCAGCACACTGTTGTTGTGTTCTGGCTGACTTTGGGGTGTCCTGACTTGCTGGGAGACTCCAGGAGTCAGGATAGGGACAACAGGAACTAAAGAGCTGGTGGTCATCCTTCCCCAGCTGCGTTGCTCTCGCAGGGGCAGAAGAGAGCGTTCTGCAGTCCAGAGAAGGAATTGCTGGCATGGTCACAGCTGACCCAGCTGAGCCCTCCCCATCACCAGTAGCACCATGGGGGGAGCTGGAGCTGTGGAGCCGCAGCCTCATCCCAGTCCTGGGAGTTTGGGGGGCCTGGGGTTCCCCATGACAAGTGTCCCCAGTCCCTTGCCAGCTTGGCAAGCCCACTGCCAGGTGTCAGTGCCCAGAGCAGAGGTGACCAGAAGTGCTCAGCCTGCCTGGGCTGCTGCATCCCTCCCTCCATCCCTCCCTCCCTCCTTCCTTCCCTCCAGGCAGCCCCTTTCCTCCCTTGTGAGTCCCTGCTGGGCACCTCTGCCCAAATACCTGCATCCTCCCTGCCCCAGCCACGAGCACGAGCTGAGGGTCACACTCTGGCCAGGACACCTGTTCTGGCTGCAGGGGAGCCGCAGCAGCGGGAAGCAAAGGTCTGGCAATGTTTGTGGGTGCCCAGGAGCCAAAGTCACTGTCACTGGTGACAGGTGCTCCCCAGGGGCCCCTCAGAGGTGGGCAAGCCCTCAGAGAGGATGGGGAGGATGGCAGCTGAGGGAATGGGTCTGCAGGGTGGTGGGGAAGGGCAGGGGGCTGGGCACGGTGGCGGGGAGGGGCTCATGCCATCAGCTAATTCTCCTCCCGGACGGGCCGGATCTTCATCTCGGTGAACTTGAGGGAATACTGCCAGCCGGTCCAGGAGGACCACTCGATGCCATCGGCGTAGGAGCTGTGGTGGCCCTTGAGGTACTGCCCGTTGAGGTTGGAGGTGTGGCAGTTGCGGTACCACCAGGCACCGTGGTAGAAAGCGGCGCAGTTGTTCTCCGAGTGGTCGTTGTCCAGGTCCTTGGTGGTGAATTTCATCCCGTTGTGCTTCAGGAAGGAGTCACCTGTCCCAGGGGAAAGGAGTCCTGATGGGCTCTTCCTGCCCTTGGGCCGGGTCCCTGCCCCGTGGGGCTCCCCTGGGCACCCCGGTGCAGCTCCTACAATGGGGCTCCTCCAGCAGATGCCCAACCTCAGCCCACCTCCAGCTCCCCAAGGCCGCAGGGATGCAGCCAGAGCCAGAGGACACTGGAACACCCTGGCAAAGGGGTTTGGTGGCCGTGGGCTCCCCCTGCCCACGGGCCCACGTGTGTGCCCCCATCCTGCTGCCCTACCTGCTGTCCCTGAGTAGTCAGCGATGGTGATGGGGTACCCATCCTCCTCGGGGTCGACAGAGAAGAGCCCCACCCCGAAGCTGCCGTAGTGGGCAAAGGCGGTGCCGTTGTCAAAGTCCTCCAGGTCAATGCGGAGCTCGTAGCTGCCCTGCACCGTCAGCAGGTGGATCCTCTTCAGCCCTGGCAGAGGGAAAGTGTGTGGATGGAGAGGCCAGGGATCCTGCCTGCCCAGACCATCACTCCCAGGGGACATCAGCGCTGTCCAGGGGGGTCTCAGTGTCCCCTCATCGCAAAGGAAACCCCAGGCCTCCCCAGGATGGAGCACTGCCAGCCCCACACACCTAGCCAGTGCTCTCCTGTCAGCTTCCCAAAGCCGTCCCGGTAGGCTTCCCAGCCACGGAAAAAGTTCACGGAGCCGTCCTCCCGCCGCTGAAACACCTGGGGAGACACAAAGAGCATCAGCCATGGGGCTGCTCCCAGCCTGCGTGCCCCAGGCAGCCCCTCTGCTCCCCAGTGTGCTGCCCACCTCTCCCCACCACTGCCTAATTAGACACCGGCACAAATTAAACCCTGTGGGCTTAGTGATGACCCAGGGATGCTGGGGAGAGGTCGCCGGGGAAACGCTGGATCATTGTCTGCCGGCTCCTAGGGGTGGGTGAGCCGGTTCAGGTAAAACCCTTCACAGGATCCTCCGTCTGGAAATGTGAGCAGAGCTCAGCAAAGCCAAAGCTCCTTGGGAAGTCATCGGGTGTCCCTGGAGCTGTGGACACCCTGCAGCTGCCTCCAAACAGCCAGGGTGTGCTGCTGCCCATGGGAGCAGAGACACGGACGGCGTGAGCCGAGCTGTGTCCTGCAGCACGTGCTGCCCTGCTCACTCAGCTCTCCTGCCAACACTGGGTGCTCACAGCTGTGTAAAAACCCAGAGACAGATTTCTTCCTCCTGGATCTCCTTGCTCTCCTGGGCAGGCACCCCATCATAATTCTTCAACTCTGTGACCACCTCATTAGTCTCCCAGAGAAATAATCTGTGAGGCACCGACTGCCCTGAGTCCTGCAGAGCCCCCAGATCCCAGCCAGATCCCAGGGCTCAATGCAGCTTTCCTGCTCGGAGCCTTTCCCTTTTCCTCTCCCATCTGCTCATTGGTGTGTGTGCCCTGTGTTTCATCCCCTTTTATCCATAGTTTTGGGTTTGATTTATTGACAGTGATCCAGAAAATGCTGCTTCATGCCCGACCATTTGAACTTAATTAAGCCTCCAGCCCTGCATTAATTGCATTAAAGTTGGCTGAGCAGGCCTGCCCCACTCCCACCGAGCTCCGTGCTCCCAAGGCCATGGTGGGGACAGCTGGGGCACTCGGTGGTTTAGGCAGAACCCTCCCAGGCTCTGGCAGCCCAGGGGCCAGAGGACCCCATCTTCAGAGCTGGACTGTGTTGCTGAGCTGAGCTTCCAGCATCCCAGGACTGGGGAATATGGATGAGCCCTGAAGTCAGCTGGGAAGCCACCATGCTTTGCTCTCCCTGGCTCTTTCTGCCTTCCTGCACGGAGTTTCATGCTGGCACGTGAAGCAGAACCACCTTGTGAACCTCTCTCTGCTTTGCCCTTCCCCAGACAGGCATTTCTGGGGCTGCGTGTGCTGGCCGAGGCTCTGGCACACTCTGATCCTGCTGTACTTACCTTCTAGAATTAGAGCCTTAATTTTTATCCCCACGTTGAGCACTTGAGAAGCTGTGGTTAAGCCCATTTAAAGGGGCTTTCTTCAGGCTTGCTGGGAAAGGGGGACAGTGTGGCTGGACAGGGGCCTGAAGCTGATTTTCCCCAGCCAACATTGGCTCCGTGGCTGGCGCGTGGGGAAGGCGGCGGATGCAGCACCAGTGCTCCCTCTTAATCGGCTTTGAGCCACAGCTGTAAATAGGCCAATTGCCTGAGTGGTGCCCAGGGAAGCATGTGGGACAGGGCTCCACCTCCTGAGCCTTGACACGGCTCAGAAATCACCCCAGGAGAAGCCTTCAGTGCCCCACTGCCCACCAGGCTCAGCTCCAGGGGGGTTTGAAACCAGGTTGGTGAGTGCTGCCTCCCGAGTCTCCTGCTCCATCCTCATCATCTCTCATGCACAGGCCTTTCTGTGCCTCTTCTGTGCACCCACCACGTGCGGGCAGGGCTGTGGGAGCCTCCTGATCACCCTCTGCAAATGCTGGGAATGCAGGGGTGCAGCAGTGACCTGCAGTGCTCCCAGCCCTGCCTCGCTGCTCTCTTCCTCCTCATCAAATATGCCTCTTAAGCAAAAAGGATTTCCCTCCCTTCTTTAAAGGCAAAGCTGAAATATTTATCTCCCTCATTCTCTGCCTCCCCCAGTTGCCCTTGTGGGGCAGGGACAGGCTTCTGCAAAGCCACAAACCCAGAAAAATGGGTTAAAAGCTGAGAAAAGTGGGAGCAGCAAGCTGTGCCTGCCATAGCAGTGGCATCTTCATCTCCCTCAGCTCCACCAAACTCCTGGTGGCCTTGAAACTCCCCGGTCTGGGGACATGCTCAGCCATCACTTCTCCACCACCACGGTGCTCCTGGTCCAGTTTTGGCAGCCATGGCACAGACCCCACAGCCCTGTCCCCGAGGTGTCCTCTGAGCCCTGTCACAGCAGGGAGATGGGAGAAAACTCAGAGCAGTGCAGAGCCAGTCTCCAGGAAATGCCCATCCCGTGGGGCAGCCTGTGAACACCACAGCAGGCAGCGCTGCCCATCCCAGGAGCTGCTCCTGCCTCTCCCTGCAGGCAGAATTGTCCCCATTTGTGGTGACACATAAAACACATCCTTTGGGAACAGCACGTGTTTCTCCAGGCTCCTCTCACACCCTGTGCTTTACCCCAGCCCAGTGTCAATGCACCGGTGTCTGCTCAGCCCCATCCCTCCCCAGGACCCCTCCAGCAGGGGTCACCAGGCTGGTGAAACTGTCCCCAGCAGTGTCCCAGCACGGCAGGTACCCCTGGAGCTGGAAGCTGTCAATGTTACCACAGCCCTCATCCTGCTAGCACAGACTTTTCTCCTGCATTCTTTGGCTTTCCCACCATTTCCCAATAACTGCTGTACGTGGAGATGATGCCGAGGCACACAGCACTGCTGCCCACGGAACTGAGCTGCTGATCCCAGAGGATTTTGCCCCAGCCCCAGAGGAGCAATAGAGGCTCAGGGGCACTGTGAGGAGCATGGGGCACTTGCAAAGACATTCTGAACACCACATCATAGGAAAAGGCAACTTTGTGAGCCCTCCTGGGATGCTGAGCCTGCCTTGAGCTCCATCATCACATTGCTACTTTAATAAAGGGGAAGGGAAGGGAAGGGAAGGGAAGGGAAGGGAAGGGAAGGGGAGCCTGGGGTGTGCATCCTCGAGCCAGCTCTGGCTGTCTCTGGACTGCTGGGATCCAGCACCTGGTTTGGCTCCTCGCCCAATCAAGGCAGGGCAGAGCCGAGGTGTCTGTGCCACTCCTCTCCCAGATCCTCCGGTGCTGCCGGGCTTAGAATCACTCACTGTGCCCCCTCCCCAGCTCAGCCCGAGCCCTCCCGGCTGCAGCAGCTTTGAATAAGCCTCTGAGTGTCTTGCTAATCACCTTGGGCTGCTCTTCAGGCTTGGCTGGGGCTGGTGGAGGCTGTGCAAACTGTGCATGGGGTTTGCAAGGACCCTCCACACTCTGAGGAGCCAGAAGGGTCCCCTCTCCCCTCTCCCCAAGAGCTGAGGTCCCCGGGCCGTGCTGTGCCTCAGTTTCCCCACTGGAGCTGCTGGTACCACCCAGACACCACAGTTTCCTGCGGCCCAGGGTGGGCTCTTGGAGGTTGAAGGCTCATCAGCCCCTGAGGGCAGGGGGGCTAAGCTCCCTCCTGGCCCTGCTCAAAGCTGCTTAGGGGAATCAGATCGTGGGGATTTGTTTCCTAGAGCGCCCAGCTGGAGGGGTTCTGGCCAACTCGGCTCACCCAGGGTGTTCTCAGGGCAAAGGCTGCCTGCCCACCCCTCCTGGTGAGACCCCTTCTCTGTCCTACTGGCACCACAAGTGATGCCCTACAGGGTGGGGGGAGCTGCTCGCACCTGAGGGTCCGTGGGGCAGTGGGGGGCTCCGGGCTGGGGGCTGGCAGAGCCGTGTCCCCCCCGTCCCCCTGCTCCCTGCCCCCATTACTGTGATTACGGGGCCATCGCAGCTGCTGTGGCAAAGTGAATCGGACAGGGAGTGAATCAGCACAGCATCCCAGGCGCCCCAGGCACCCCGGCCTCAGATAAGGCCAAACATGCTGGGTTTGGGGTCTGCCCTGAGCCCCAGCACTGGCTCAGTGGGAGCACGAGGCAAAGCCACCTGCCCCAGGCTGCCAGGCTGTGCCCCAACCGTACCCCAGCACTGCTTGGAAGGACAAATTCCAGTGGTAGCATCCAGCTCCCTGCCTGAAACCCCCCTCCAGCTCCAGCCAAGCTCCCCAGTCCAGGGCAGGCACTGGGCTCCAGCTCAGAGTTCTGGCTGGCACCACTGGGAAGCTCTGGGTGCTCAGCCGGGCCCCCTTGACATTTATTGCCCTTTCTGATGACACATCCAAGTGTCAAAAGTGACATCTCCCACCCCCAGCACCCCGGCACAGGGCCAGCCCGTGGCCGGTGGTGGCATCACCCATTGTCCCCAGCATGGTGGCAGCTCACCGTCCAGCCGCCCCCGTCCGTCGTCATGTCACAGTAGACCTGGAAGCCATCAGGGTAGTGTGTGGGGAAGATGGAGTAAATCCCATCCTCTTGCTGTCCACTTGCATAGATGTCAAAGCAGTCTCGGGGCCGGGAGCCTGGAGTGTGGCATTGGGATGGGGTGGGATGAAGGGAAAGCTGGTTAATTCATCATCTAATTTAATGTCTTGCCATTTCTTCCATGCTCCCAACCTTGCTTCCAGCTCTAATTGCCAGCTTGGGGCTGCTTTGCTCTTTGCCTCCCTTCTCCACCAATGCTCAGGGTGAGCAGTGCCAAGGGGGTGCCACCACCATGGGGAGTCCCCAGCAGCTGATAGGGACCGTCCCCATGTCCCTGGGCAAGCTGGGAGCCAGCTGGGGACATGGGAGAGCCGATACCCAGGGAGGCTGTGGGCACATGCTCCCAGCTCCAGGACAGACTCAGCTGCATCTCAGCCCTGAGCTCAGGAATGTGAATGTTTATGTTGTGTGCAGGGCCACCCTCCACACCCGATGGATGTCAGTGCTCTCCCTGTGTCCCTGCTACGCTCTGTGGGGAGCACATGGGTTTGCAGGGGCGTGAAGGGGATTTTGGGCTGGTTTGTGGACAACTGGGAGCTGCATGGTGAGAACACCCCTTCCCAGGACACACCTTCCCATCTCCCTCCTTCTCCACCTCCTTGCCAACCCCTGCATTGTATTAAATCAAGGGTTTGCTCCATTCTGGGCTGTTTTCTCCCTCCCATGAGATTCCCAGGCACACCCCTCTCCCCAGGGGCTGACAGGGGTGCAGGCTCACCGTTGGAGCAGCCCCGGGGCCGCGCTCCCCTGGCCGGTGCGCGCTGCAGGTCAGCCTTGAGCCGGGGCCGGGCCCCACCGCGCTCCTTCTGCAGCGTGTCCAGGACATCACTGACAGAGCTCACCAGCCGAGCCATGTTGGTCTGGCTCTCCGAGAGCAGCTGCGGGCAGGGGACACGGAATTGTGGTTAAATGGTTAAATCCCTTCCGCATCCCAGCCCCTTGGCCATTCTGCCTGCTCCCGCTGCTCAGCAGTGCTGGGCTGTGGGCTGGTGGGGACATAAATCCACAGCAGATCCCATAAAATACCTCTGCTGCTTTTTGGCATGGGTTGAGGTCTAAATAATTGCCAGCAGGGAGGAGAATTCCCCAAACCTGGGTGCATTGGTGCTGCCACCCCATGGGATAAAGAGCATCTCTGGGCAAAGGACAGGATGACGGAGGAGGCAGGAATAGCCGTGTCCTGAGGCAGCCGCCAGCTCTTCATCGTCCCCCGAGGTGACCCAGGCTGGGACAGTGACACGGCGTGGCCGTGGCAGAGCAGCAGGATGGGGACTGAAGGGAAGCAGCGAGAAACAAACAGCTCTGGGCAGAAGGAGTTGAGTACCAGGAGGGTCAGGCATGGATCACCCAGCCATGCCCTGGATCTTGCTATGACACCTGGCAGATCCCTGGAATACTCAGGTAAGCATTTCAACACAACTCATTGGCTGGGAAATTTTGGGGACTGCAAAGAGGGGGGGCTGATTGCTGCAAGAACTGCCCTTGAGAAGGTTCTGTGTTGTGTTTGGCTCTGACTGGAGCTCCCAGACTGGATCTGGAGCTGGGACACCCACAGTGTGGGAGGCTGCACACCTGGCTTACTGGCACTGGGGCAGTTTGGCAGGGAGACACTTCCCAGCTTCCAATTCCCAAACACTTGCCTTCAACCCCAGCTCCTTCCCCTGGTAAGCAGCCATGCCCCCAGGGACACAGGGACAGGGAGTTCCATCCCCAGGGAGCCCTGCCTGGCACTGCCAGCCCCAGCTTACCTGGATGAGCCTGCCCTGCTCTCCCTGCAGGGCGCTGAGCTCCTGCCCCATGGCGCTGTGCCCCTTCTTGAGGCCGTCGCAGTCGGCACGCAGCTGCACAGCGTGGGTCAGCAGCTTGGCCACCTCGTCCGCCACTGTGACCAGCAGGGCCTTCTGCTGGCTCTTGGTGGCCTTGGCCTCGGCGTCGTGGTCGGTGATGGCGCGCAGCAGGGAGGTCTGCAGCCCCTCCATGCGCCCCAGGGTGCCGGCAGCGCTGGGGCAGTTGGGGTCGATGAAGATGTTGATGCGGGAGCTGTCGGCTTTCTCGATGGTCACCAGGGCATTGGCCTCCTCGGGGTTGGTGCTGATGACTGGGGGCGACTCGGTGACGGGCGTGTGGTAGTGGTTCATGAAGAGGATGGCCCCCGTGACCGTCACTGCCAGGAGGACGGCCACCGAGAGCAGGACGGTGCACAGGATGTACCCACAGCTCATCCTCTGTAGGCAGAGACACAGACACACCATCAGCATCCCTCTGGACAGCCCCAGACATCCCACAGGTAGGCTCAAAGCCACACGGGCTTTGGGGGCCTGGCAGTGACATTGGGTGGTGGCAGAGGAGGGAGGGTGGGGACCCCAGGGAGCCCTGTGGCTCTGCCAGGGGCAGGGAGGCCACGGGCAAACGCAGAGTGAGCAGAGCAGCTAAACCCGCCTGGGAGCTGGCTATGAAATAATAACGAGAGCGAAGGCACGGCAGCCGCCAGCTCCCGCTGGCATGTTTTATTTACAGCCGTGATCCTTGGCTGGAGCAGCCCTGGCTCCCCAGGAGATGTGTGTGGGGCTCCCCTTCTCCTGTGGGGAGAAAAAGGGAAAACACCTCGTGTCCCTCACAGCAGGGACCACAGGGAGAGCAATAGGAGTAGCTGTGGGTTAGTGCTGGGGTCACGTTCCCCTGAGGATCGTGGGGACCTGCTCTGCACAGGGCATGGCAGGCAACGTATCTCCATCCGCCTTGTCACCTCGTTTCTCGATGGAGGGGGCAGAGCTGCACCCAAAGCCTCTGGATCAGTCCCAGAGCTTCCCAGCAAGGGAGAGTTACTGTGGGAAAGGTCTGTGACCCCTCCAGCCCCTCTGGCAGCTCTGCTGCTGTTCAGACCCACTGGCTCAGCCCGTGGGACCTGCTCCATGCCCACCAAGAGCTTTATTCCCTGCAAAGCCCGAAGTCAGTGTGGAGCGAATGAGCTGCCACCCGATCCCATCAGCTCCCAGTCCCCCTCCACCTCCCCTCCTGCTGCACCTGCAGGACAGAGGCTGTGATTTTCCCCTGACCCTGGCCGCGGCTGTCACAAGGAATTGCGGGGCTGGCAGCAAACTGCAGATTCAGAGAGACAAAGACTACTTTCCCCAGAAACGAGGGAAAATTGCTGCATCTGCAAAGATTTCCCAGGCCCTGTCCCCTCCCGTGCACATCTATCTGGAGTGACACCTTCCTTCAAGCACCCTTCATTTCATTCCCACTCACGCAACCATTTGCATTAAGGTGACCCCAGCTGCAGTGGGGCTGCCTGGGGGACCAAGGATGCCCCACCAGCCCCAGGGTGTGCTCTGGGTTTCTCCCCCTCTCCACAGAGTGAGGCTGCAGATGCAAACAGCACTGGACTGAATGGGAAGCCACCTGCAGGGACCTCTGTGAGGAGACAGCCCCAGGCTCAGCCCCTGAGCGCAGGTTAAAAGGAGATATCAAAGGCAGTAAGGGAAACCCAGGCCAAGCAGGGGGTTGAGGAGTTTGCCTGGTGTGTGTAGACACAGAGCCCTGGCTTGGGGGCACAGGGGACACCCAGGAGCAGCAGGATGGTGGCAGACAAAGGTGTGAGATGCCCATTGCTCAGATCCTTACGTGGATACCCAGGACTGGGGCTCAGCTGGGCCCCCAGCACCCTGCAAGCACAGAAGTGACAGGAGGGGTGCGGCTGGACAAAGGTGGTTTGGGATCTACAGGGTGAGCAGGGACCCTGTGTCCCTGTGGTTGTCCTGGCTGTGACAGCACCCTCATCTCCAGGACTTTGTGCCCTCCCATCTTGCTGCTGCTGCTCCCCACGATGCTGACATGCCCAGCTCGAGGGGCACATGGAGGAGCTGCAAAGGCCGAGGGTCCCCTCTGAGCAGTAAGAGCTCCCAGAACAGAGCCATGAATGGATAATGCTCTGCTTCCCATGGCCACACAAATCCCAACTGGGCTGTAGCACACCAAAATCTCGCAGCTCTGCCTGGCTGTACCGCCACACCAGGAGCTGTATCCAGCTGTTTACCAGCCTTCAAGCCCCAGAATCACTGCCCTCCCACTGCAACAGGATTTGGGGACCAATTCCCTTCCAAAATGTTCCCCTCGGCTTGCAACTGCGAGATCCTGAGTGGCGGCAGCTTCATGAGTCCCTTGGCATTTTGCTGGCAGGTTGTGTTACCTGGCAACCTGCAGTGGGGAGGGAAACTCAGCCAGTGGCACCAACAGCACTCCCAACTGGGGTGGGGGTCCCCAAAACCCCTCCAGGGAAGCAACACTGCAGCAGCATGCCCAGCTGCTGGCATGGGACCCTGCAGACACCCCCTGCCACACGCTCCTGCCTCACCACGACCACAGCTCTCATCACCCCTAGGGTTCCTCCTGTCTGTTCCATGACCTCAAGCTCCTG